TTATTTATTTCCAAAAATAAATTGACATCCTTTTCAAACACTGCATCATATTTCTTAAATTAAAGCAATGTTTATTTTTTGGGGTCGATAACGAAACTTTTGTTTGTGTCTAGGGGGTGGTTGTTATTGGTCTTGGTAAATCAACATCCTTTTCTAAATTTTGCATACATATTGTATTTTAAATTAAATAAAATTTTAAACTCAAAATTTTCAATTTTAGAATATAAGTTAATTGAATAGATACCAATTTTGGGCACTGTAGGGGTGCTAATCCTTCCCCACGCATAACCATAATCCCGAACTTGATTTTGAATTTGCAGATCAAAATTGGGTATTTTTATAAAATAAAAATGTTTTATTATAATTATCCGATTTTAGATGTTCCAATCGTACCATAAAATGATTGGTGGAGACTCCTAATTTTTTATAAATCATTTAAAAAATATCGATGATGGGTTTTCCATCCAAAATTCGGTTATCACTAAAGGCATGCCTAGGAAAGAATACTATAATGTTGTTGTAATGTTTATAGGGGTTACATGTATGTGGTAAGGTTGGTGTATTGAACATAGCTTCAAATATTGTGGTTTTAGACCTAAGTCAGACCTTAAATGAAAAGGGAGACGTATTGAGTCTATTTATCCAATGTATTAGTCGTGTTTTGAACAAATTCCAATGGTCTTAAATGGAAAAGAATACATGTTGTGTGTGGCTTGACAAGTAAGGTAATGGTTAATGAGTATGTGTGGATTATGATACGTTTTATGTGTATTGAAGAATGACCATCTACTGAAATTTATGAACTAAAGTGTTGCATTGTATTGATATGATAGTACGACAATTTGGTATAATCATTGAAGTAAAATAATGACAAAGTTCATGCATATAGCGAGACTTTCCTTTAGCTTTAAATGTATGCATCATGTAGAATGACTAGACACTCATTGGGCTTAAAGCTCACACTCTTTGTTTACCATTTTTTAGAGGATTGATCATTACCTTGGAGCGATAACTAAGCATCCGGTATCATTAACAAGGCTTTAACTAAATAAAGTGTATGTGGACTCTTAATTGAGTAATGAGGCAATGCGGGGAACTTGTGGGCATAAATGTTTGAGTTGTTGTCAGCTTGATGAGTGACCTATAATTATGATTTTGGTAAATTTATTTTGATATTAAAGCATGAGTTGTTGAATGATGATACGTTTGGTTACTTGTAGTTGAAAGTGCTTGTTTGCTTAGATTAGTCAAATGTTGCCAATAGCCCTAAAGAAGTATTGCGATGTAACGACAAGTGAGACAAAGTATTCATAATATGTTAGACTCATAGGTTGCATGGAATGACCATTTAAGCTTAAAACGAATAGGTGACTTGTGGTTAATTTGAATTTTTATGCAATCTTTGAGTTTTGAATCTTGATTCTTGTATAATATGTTAATTGGTGTTATGAAGAATGTTATATATGTATTTAGATGTGTTCTAAGTGATGGAAGCATGTTTAATTATGATTATTTACTTTAGGATTGATTGGATGATGTTTTATTAACTCATTCAATCATGTTCACGTAAAATACTGCAATTTTCCAAAGAAAGGATTGATCCCTTCACAAAAAGGATCAATCCCTTCCCTAAAGGATCGGTCCAAAACCTATTGTATTGCAAAGGATCGGTCCACCGTGAAAAGAGATCGATACTCGTTGTTTACCCGCTAAAAATTGGTAAAAATTCATTCATTAAAGGTACTAAGTGTCTAAAAGTTATAATTGAACCCTAGATGATATATTAGTTCAAAATGGTCCTAAAAAATGAAAAGTTAATTAATACTTGTTCTTAATTTGGAAATGTATGAAACTTGTTTTACCACTCTCTAAGATGTCTAATTACATAATGAATGGGTAAATTGAATGTTTATTGTTTGGGTGGAAATTTTGTAATCTTTACTTTTTGGTCCCTACAGTAGTAAGCTTAATTAGGTCCTTGAAGGATGCTGGATTAAAATTTTATGTACATCTAATAATTGATATAGGAAAAGCAATAGTGAGTTGAAACATTGGTTAACTCAATGTTCATTTCACAAAATTGAGAAATGTCTAAGTTACCCCTACTTGGTAATAACGTTTTTTTCTTGAGATATTACCTTGTAAATTTTGTATATTATACAATTTATGACTCCACTATTGTCATCGCTTGATGAATGTTATTTAATTAGTTACCTTGGCTTAGTATGCATGTTAGGGTTGTTTTTTTTTATTCACTTCAGAATCCAATGTATGCTCAATATACACGACTCATATTACATGGTCGGGTATGGGGTGTTACAATGAGCTCCTCGAACTAGCACCTTGGAACATGCACACGGAAACAAATTTTGAATGTTGAGCTCATAAGCTTAGTGTCACACAAACAATTCTATTGTACTCCATTCATTCACCAAATGAACATGCTAGTAGGTGTAGTCATGAACAAATGATGCATCAAGTATATACAAACAACTAAGCATCATGATGTATTTTGAGGTCACATCAGTATCACAAAACTCACACACTTATTTTCTTATGAAGATGTATCTTAGATAAGACCTGGGTCACACAGTGTCAGTGTGTACATCAAAATGACTCTTTTTCGAGTACCTTGGGTGATATCTAGGTCACATAGCATCAACATCTAACTCGACTAGTCTACTCTTTCAGAGTACTCGGGGCTTGTATGGGTCACAAAGCATCAGAGTGACATTCAACTAGCATTTACAGTGCCCTTGCATTTAGTTCGATATATCTGAATATTCCTCAAATAACTAGACGATTGTCATGCACAAATAACTCGGTGTCCTCATCGTTTTTTGAGTGTCAAACAAAGTCATAAGTCTTATGAAATCTTATCTCAAAATGTTTTTATGCAATACACATGATTTATTCAATGTTCCAGTTGCAATCGTTTAATATTAAGGTTTCACACCCTTAGACCCCTCACTCGAGTCCTTAAAAAATTTAAAATGGTTGAAACTCTGTGGTACACGATGATCATCTTCAACCGCCATGGGTGCTTGTGTCAAGTGTCAAATTGTTACACCGAGATTTCGTGGATGCAATAACGACTTAGGTTAGTTATACTGCGAATTCAGGCTCAATGGACATGGAAAGGTGGCACCCTCCTGGTCAAGGGTTTATTGAAGTTAATGTTGATGGGGCTTTTGACCCTTGTTTCTATCTAGCAACTGTTGGAGTTATAACTCGTGATTCTCAGGGAGTTATAACTCATGATTCTCAGGGAGTTATAACTCATGATTCTCAGGGAGTTATAACTCGTGATTCTCAGGGAGGTATAATTGGTGGTCTCGCTGCAGCTTCCCCAGGCTATGCTAAGTATAGACTAGCAGAAATACATGCTCTCATTTCTGAATTGAAGCTTGCTCGAGGTAAGTAATGGCGGTGTGTGCATTTTAAAATAGATTCTATGGTGACCGTCAACAAGATGCACCGTGATTATGATGATATTTCAGCCCTTGGGTTTCATTTACAGGAAGCTCATGATGTATTAGCTAGCAATAAGGATTAAAGTTTTTTATGTCCTTCGCTTTTATAATAAGGATGCTCATGGCTTTGCTAACTAGGCCTTTCGTTATGGGAATTTTTTGTTTTGACTCGGTTTGTCCCCAGATAATTGTTGTTGATGTATTAAATGATAATTTTCCTCTGTAATATAAGTTCTCTGAGTACTATTTTCCTCTTTTAGCTCGTAAAAGAGATTTTTTAACGAGGTCCGTAAAATTTTCAACAAAAAAAAAATCAAAGTTTGGGTATATATACTTTGCAATAAAGTTTGAATTGAGGGAGTATTGATATTATTTTTAGCTTCTACAACCGAGTTTCCTATTTGGATCTTTACATCTATAGAACTTGATAAATAAATGGGTAAACTACATTTTTAATACTCTAACTATCATTTTTATTTCGTTTTGGTCATCCACTATTTAAAAAAACTATACTTCAAGTTACATTTTAGTTTCATTTCTGTTACCCACTGTTAAAAAATTAAAAGAATTTTTAATGTGACATTTTTATGTTTTATTTAATGATAACATGACACTACTTTATGTTGACATGTCAACATTATCATTAATCTTTAATGACAAGTGACCAAAATGAAATCAAAATCAAACATTCGGTATGTTTTTAGGAAAAAATAGTCAAGTGATCAAAACATAACAAAAATATAGTTGAGATACTAAATGTGTAATTTACCCTAAATTAAACAACTGAAAATTGATTTTTTTTAAATTATTAAGTAAATGATCATATTAAAATTTAGAGAAGCCTGTGATCTCTTTATTTAAGAATGTCTCTAACTACAGAGATTTCTTTCTTTATCTCTAACCAAAAATTTTTATCAATATTTTTGTGATGTCTTCTTCTTTTCTTTTTATTTTTGTTTAACTGACGACGACACTAATCTTAATATTGATTGTCAACCGTCAGTGATTATTATTTTCTTGTTCTTTTTCATATTGTCTTTATTTTTTATTGAGTTTTTTCAATTTTAAATACAATCTTTTTCTTGTGACATTTTTCTCTACTTTTGTGGAACACTTTTTCTCTACTTTTGTGACACGTTCCTTATGATTTTTGATAAATGTTTCGCATACCTATGTGGTCGAATTGGTTCTTGCATAAAAATTCTCACGATATTTGTTTCCTGATTGATTTTTTCACGAATTGTCATATCTCTTTGATAAAAGGTTGTTCACAAATACGTCTAAGTGCTTCAACAAAATTTTATTATTAGTGTTTAAAAAATACCTTTAAATTTTTTAATAATTAGAAAGAAATAAAGAGGTATAATTAGTGTTTGCTTATTTGAAATACGATTTAACGATCTTGAAATACAAGGAGAGAAGAATATATGAAATAATATTATTCCATCAAGTAAATGCGAAATTTGAAATGGAAGTACAAAGGAATACACGCGGTTTCAAACTGATGACAACGAACATACAACAAAATGACTGAATAAGTAATGTACGAACAAACAACACTGTACAAACAAATGTATATAAAAAGAGAGTATGAAACTATAAAAATCTCACAGATAATTCAACTCCACTCACTGCCTAAAAATCTGAATGATCTCTGTATTATTATTTACTCTCACAAACCCAACATGGGAATATGTCTCCCTAGTACAGCGCTATAAATACCATAACCAATAATAAGACGGTGATTCCAGTCAACGCTGTCCTGTGCGCGCCTCCATTGTCTCTTTGCCCTGAACATTTTTCCAAACAAAATAATTATTGAGACTGAAACAATATGCAAGTCATTCTAATTCAATATTTGACTTTTTCTTAATGGGTAAACTATCCATTTAGTATTGCAACTATCATCTTTATTCCGATTTAGTCCCCTAACTATTTTGACCACTTAACTATTTTTATTAAATTATACCTAACATTTAGTTTTAGTTTTATTTTGATCACTCATCATTAAAAAATTAACAATGATGCTAACATGTCACCATAAGATGTCATGCCATCATTTAAAAGAAATTTATCACGTCAGTAATTTTGTTTATTTGTAATGGTGGGTGATCAAAATGAAACTAAAACGTAACGATATGTATGCTTTTGGGGAAAAAATAGTTAGGTGATTAAAATGGAACAAAAATAGTTAGGGTACTAAATAGTTTTACCCCTTATAATATATGCTTATTCATTCCATTATTAGATCTTGATGCTGTTTCGGGTTAGGTTATATTCAAGTTTGGTCTGAAATTTGAAGAGAGGTCAAAGATACGGTTTGTTACCTGGTGGGGGTGGAGCAGATGTAGGAGAAGTAGCTGTACATGGAAAACAAAATGTCCGTTGATTAAAGAACTCAACCATATCTCGAAATTAAAAATCCTAAAATTATGTATTAACTAAAAGCATAGGAAAAATATAATAAATGGAAAGACAATATTTTACTTACACAAGTGTATTAGTATTAAATTTAGATAAAAATAATATTAATAGTACCAGCAATCTACAGTTTTTAATTAAAAAAGTGAGAAAACATTTCAAATTAACTTTATTGACCGACTTTGATTAAATAAGTTCTATTGGATCAATTATGATAATTACTTAGAGTTGTAAACAAATAAAAATTTTAATTAAAAAGTGAGAAAAAACATTTCAAATTAACTTTATTGACCGACTTGATTAAATAAGTTCTATTGGATCATTATGATAATTACTTAGAGTTGTAAACAAATAAAAGGGATTGAACTGAGCAATTACATGGCGGAATTATAGAAATACATGAGATAGACAGATAATTTCTTCTTGAAAATTTTAAAATTTTAAAATAATTTTTGTAATTTATGTTTAAAAATTTATTTTTGCCCCCTAAAATTTTATAGGCTTATCTTTCTTTCAAATTTTATAATTTCATCTCTTAACATAAAATCATGTCCATTTTTAGGTGGAAATTTATATGATCTAACTCACCCACTTAACACGTCAAACCAACTTATATTTTTCAATAATTTAGGATGATCATAAGATAATATATATTAAGAATCTTTCTTAGCAATTGACAATATACACACACAATTACTTGAATATAAAACATCTAAAAAAACACTTCTTTTAAGTAACCAAACTAACTCATGATAAATCGATTAAAACCTAAATGATTTGATTAATCGATTAAAATATATGATGATCCTTCCTTGGTCAAGTCTATTTTTTCCTTCAAGTTGAAACAAGTATTCACAAAAAAACAATAAAAAAGAAATTGAATTGAACTGCTCTCCCCTAATGAAAATAAGCAACCAAATCTATGGTTGTTTTAAATCTAAACAAATGAAATAAACGTACCGTTGTTGCAGTCGCTGAGATTAGCATTGACACCGCAATCACGAGCGATCCTCATAGCAGTAGGGACGGAAACGTTGAAAGAATTAAGCAAGTTGGGATCGTTGAAAAGGTTGCACAAGCAAGTGAATTGTGTACGCACGGCTTCTCTGATGGGGTTGCAGCAATCGTCTTGCGGTGGCGCTGTGGCGTTCGTAAGGTACGGAGCGCAAGGGATCAGACTCTGCGCACATGTCTCTTGCGCATCCGTTACTGTCGCCGCCGCCAGTATAGCAAGAACCACCATCATCAACATCTTAGGACCCATTTTGTTTGTGATTTGTAATTTAACCTACCATGACTGGCTGCTATGCCTTCACTTATATAACGGCGTTTTGGGACTTTCGTCAGAGAAAGACAACGAGGACAAAGTAGAAAGGTAAACTCGAAACGCGCTCTCACTTCTTGTTGATGTCACGCTCTACAATTTGCCGTGGTGGACTTTTTTTCTTTATGGGGGCATGCAATTGTGTAATGTCAAATTATTTTTAAGCTAAATTACACTAGTGGTGATTAAACATTTTAACATGTTTGTATTTAATTACTTTTTTATAATCTCGATAATTATAAAGTATTTATAATACTTTTCTTGTTAAAGAATAATTTTATTTTAACTATTTTACTATTAAACATGAATAATATCTGAGTAAATATACAATTATTTTTCAAAATATTTATATTCTATGACAAGAAACAAATTATTTTTAAGCTAAATTACACTAGTGGTGATTAAACATTTTAACATGTTTGTATTTTAATTACTTTTTTATAATCTCGATAATTATAAAGTATTTATACTTTTATTCTTGTTAAAGAATAATTTTATTTAACTATTTTACTATTAAACCATGAATAATATCTGAGTAAATATATCTACATATTATTTTTCAAAATATTTATATCTATGACAAGAAATGATATATGTTATTATCTTATTAATCAATTAAAGATGAGATAAATATTTGTTAAAAAACTGAGTTGAACTTAAGGCACAAAACTACTGAACCTTACTAAAAATATTTTATATTAATTAAAATTGTTTTGAAATTAAATTCGTGCTAAATTTAATTATATTTACTTTATAAAGATCATTAATTTTAAAAATTAGAATTTATTTATAGAAACAATTTAGTATATATTTATAAAATAAAATGATCAATGAAGAAGAGTAAAATATAGTATTAATATACTTTTTATATTATATTCTAATCTTCTTCATTGATCTTTATAAATTGATATTTTTCAATTTATTATAACTATATTCTTGTTTTTCTCGGTAATATAATAAAATTAAGGATTAAAGCAAACAATCTCAAGACCTATTTGCATGCCTCGTTAAAATCCTCCCTAAACATATGTGAAGGAAAATAGTACACCACAACTAGGTAACAACTACAACTCAGGAAATAAAACTGACAACAATCAACCAAGTTCAAAAGACACTCTAAGACACCCAACATAAACCAACAACAATAGAAACCACAACAACAACAAAATCAATCATAACAAACATACGCCAAGGATCTTGAGGATCAAAGAGGAGTATAAGGTTTTAGTTTGTATCGCCAAGTTAAACATCAATGATAAATCTTCGTAACGGACTCATATTCTACCCAGAGAAACTATCAACCATGATACTTAAGTTCCACTTACCTACGCATCTTACTGTCCGCTCTTTGTGAGTACTATAAATAAGTGTGGATATATGTGCAAGTATACACAATCAAACAAGTAATACAGTGATAAGTTAGTATCGTCTCCACAAGGAATTGAGAAAATCAAATAGGTTTGTCAAGGCACTTTACTTTGTCACCTAAGTAAAGTTAGTGATGGTATGTACAAATGAGAATGATGTGGCAAAATGGAATGACAGATGTGGTAATAGAATGGTGGTAGTGTGGTAGCAATTGGATATGTAGTGGCAAAGTAAATTGTGAAGCGTGCAAACAAATGGAGATGTCAAGGAAAAATAAAATATAAATACTGGATTTAATAAGTAGACTTTAGTTTTCTCACGACAAGTTGCTATGAGAATGAGTGATAGGAGTCACTAGGAAAATCCAAGTCTATTTCTCTGAATGGTATTTCTTCTATGCTAGTCTTTCCGACAGAGTCTACTAAGGTGCCCTATGCTATCTAGTAAGGGACTCGACAGATTAAAGATACCCTGGCAAAATCGATTGGCGTAACCCCTGCAGTGATCATATTGGTCCAGATAACAGGATATGTCTCGGCAATACCTTTTTGTAGCAGCATTAACATCCAACCTATCATTCTTGTATAACTCCTTTTAGTCGAATGAAATCCTAACCTTATCTCTAAGGTGGATTAGGCTTAGCTACTACCTAAAACCCCTTGTTTATGTAGTTCCTCCCTTTTTCTCTCGAAAACTAAGGATAAGTTATCTCGGTATTCTCTCGAACCCATAGATTCTCATAAGGAAAGGCTACTCTCGTAGCTCCTATAACATTAAGGCATTAATTTTCAAACAAAAATATTAAAGCATAGAGAAACACCATTCATTGAAATAAAACTTAAACATCCAAGCGAACTCCCACCAAATATGATTAGTTCATGGGGGGTTCGAAATAAAAAAGCACAAAGTAAGTCTCATTCGTTCTATACAACCCAATAACAAAATATGAAAGCAAAGAACTAAGGGGAGGAGAGAAAACCTTCGACGTGCACTGTCGGAGCTTCCCTCAGCCACCATGAACTGCCCCCAGCGAACTAGCTCCTCTCGGATGCTTAGAACGCCACTCCCTCAGGCTTGTTAAGGAGAAATGCCACGACAAGTAGGATTGACTGAGAAAAGTGAGACCTTCTCTTTCTAACTTTTAAGCTCAAATCGGCGTGGAACCAAAGTCTCTAACATTGTGGCTTCATCCTCTATTTATAGGGACAATTAACCCTAGGACTTGGTGTTTAAAATCCTAGGAAACCCCAAAAGCATAGTTAAATTAATTGGGAGTAAGGCAGAGCTGGCTATGATCCAGCCTGGGTTGCTGGCTGAGTACCAGGTATGATCCCGCTACAGAGGCCCAAGGACTGACAGGATCTGCAGGGCAGGCGGCGTCATCAGTAGAACTGGCTGTAGCAGTGTCGATCCCTCCAGGAGGTTCTTCAAGGCAGATTTCTCGGGCAGAGATCTCGAAGAGTAGGAGACAGCTGGCTCAAAAATATCTTCTTTCACTTTGTTTGCTCTCGAAATGCCAGTCAATGTGACATTTTCATTCTGCTCAGTAGTCTCAATATGTCACGACATATCTTTTCCTCTTTTCCTTGCTTTCAATTCCTGCACATCATCAAACAAGCACCTTTCCCATAAGGCAGCACCGCTTTAAAAATAAAACGCAACGACAAACCAAATTCCACCACATACAACTAAATACTTCTAAATGCATCTACATGGTCCTAAATGAGCCCTTAAACATTCAATAACTTAAGTGAAAAGGTCCCAAAATGTGACTTTTTACGGAGTTATCACACCCCCAAACCTAAGCTATTACTTATCCTCAAGCATTGGATAATAATAAGCAAAACAAAAATACCATGACAAGTTCAGAAGTAGAATATATTTATGGAATAAAATTTCTTCCCTCAGCACATATGGCTTCAACATGCTAGACTAGGTCAAGAAATCTAGTACTATCCCCTAGAACAAGATTCTTTGTGTATGTGTGTGCGTGTTTGTATCCAGTCCATGCTTAACAAGCCTAAAAATTTTCTAAGCAAGTTTTTTTAATTTGCCATAACATTTATAAATTTTACTCCCACCTTGTTTTCTTCTGTTTTATTAATTCTGCTACGAGGGGAGTCAGCCCATCACTCTACCATCCCACACTCTAGGTGAAAGGGAGCATACCTTCCACCCCCGAGCTAGTCAAGTAGAGTCATCCCGTGACTACTTTCATTCACTCATATGCATTGGCATAGCGGAGTGTCCCTCTACAGATATGCCGAGGCATTTATTCATAACTTTATTCATTTAATTTTTTTAATTGGGTTTTTCATGATTCAAATTTTTATTCCACGACATTTTAAGAATTTTCTTATAAAAAATTTCTAAGTTTCTCAAGCATGGAAAACATACAATTGTGTATTCAAGGATTTCAAAAAAGTAAGTCTTAGAGTTGGTTCTATCATCCTCAACCAGTCATGTACATTCTATCCTAGCCATCAAGATTCATCATCATCGGGCATCCTTAACTAATTCCAGAAAACTATTCAAACATTTGCTAATGTCATGGCATATTTATTTTACTGATATTATCATGCAATGATGTGAGAACCCTACTTCCCCTAAACTTAAGAGAAGCATTGTCCCCAATGCTTACTAAAACTAAGGAAAATGAAACTACATGCTATGAATGTAATGCAATGCAAGGTACATTGTCCTTATGCGGGTGGTGGTGTAGCGGTCGCATGACGGGTTCGCTTTCTTAATTTTGCGGGGCTGGAATATTCGGAGTTAGAAGCGGGTGCAGTCGGAGGAGTACTAGGACCTTCTGAGATAGTTGAGAGATGGGGCTCCTCGCGCTGAGATGCCCTCTTTAGGTGGCGTCGGCTCCTATGCAAAGGAGCTTGCCCTGGCATATCGGATTGTGACTCCTATGTGGACTCAGTAAGCTGTGGTACTTCGGGGTGCTCTTCTTCAATTGGCGCGGTAGGTTGCGACATGTCGGGATGTTCCACCGCCAGGGTTCAACAAATTTTGGGGAGTTGGGAACATGTGCGAGTTGGAGGGTGGTATCTCGATCTGTATCGGGTGACACAATATGGACTGGATCAGGGTCAGCGGGTTCTTCTGCTTCAGCGGACTGGTGACTTTCTTCACTGGGTGATTGATGATCGTCGGCAGTGGCAGGACGGGGTACTTCTGCAGATGTCTCGACATCCTCATTTGGTGGCACTAGTATTTCAGGGAAGTCTGGGACGGTGAAGTTTGTATACGGTAGAAACTCCAAGAAGGCGTTGGTGAGAAACTCATCTCGGCGCTTAGCATAGGCGAAATTTATCATCAGTTTGTCGGACAAGTGCCCGACTTACTCTTGAGTGCGCTGAATGGCCTGTTCCAAGGCATCTGGTTTTCCCTTGGCATGAGGAGATGCTGCAGTGCGAGATGTGGTCGCCTCCCTTTCCTTCCCTTTGGCTTCCTTTAAACCCAACAACATAGGGATTTTTACCTTGGTAATTCCAGTAATGCCCGGTAAAATCTCGTTAAACTGTTCTTCAGGAACTTTCTTTTTACAACATAAAGCTGTGATGAGATTCGGGAATACT